AACATGAATAATGAAACAGTGATCCGAATTAGTACAGCATTGCAAAACGTGGCAATATTCTTGATGTGAAAGAATATCACGAATAATGATAGAAACTAGGTGAAATTTTTCTGCAGATTGGAAGCACATTACTCTGTGCTCCCGATTAATGACTAAATTTAACCCACACCCAGACATATATTCTGTCAAACATAGGTATTGCATTACAGAAATATATCTGGCTAGATTATCATACAAGGGCACAGAATTTATGCATAAAGCGATCGATCATTCATATTTCAAACTGCTCTGCTGTCCTTTTTCTTTCAAATGTTGAAATCAGCTTAGAAATCCTCTATAATTGAAGAAAAAAAAAACCCTCTTCACTTCACACAGGAGAATGACTAGAGAGTATAATTAGGAATACCTATAACAACACAATTGATATATTTGTAATGTCTGTTTATATGTAAACAGGATATTCGGGAATTGTGTGCTCAGTCCGAGAAAGTAATTTTTGCCTTCTCTCTGTCAAGTGCAGTGAATAATTGTGAATTCAGACTCATTTTCTAAAACCATATTTTCTCCTAAGAATAATATCAAAAACTTACAGCAACCAAGATGAAAACAACAACAACATTCATTCTGTGTCTTGGAGAGCAGCTGGATTTTGCTTTCTGGATCCTCAGTTTCTTTCAAAAATACATTAGTAAAACCTTAAACCTATTTAGCCATGCCGACACTCACACACAGACACACATATGCCTGCTTATGCTATTAGATGTTCAAGTGGAAATGAAGTCCATTCCATTCCATATTATCCTTCTTTTTTTAAAAAACAACAACAACCCATCTGCTTATTTAATCCATTTTTGTTCACAATTCTTGTTTAAATGAAAACTAAAAAGAAAGCGAATACAGCCACTTGACCTCACTCTTAACGTTCCAATTCCATTTTTATTATTAGTACAAATAGCTCAAGGTGGCAAACATAATAATAATAATAATAATAGTATTAAAGTTGGAAGGGATCTTGGAGGTCACCTAGTCCAACCACCTGCTCAGGCAGAAAACTATACCATTTCGGATAAATGGCTGTCCATATCCAACACATTTTCTTCCTACTAATTTCCCCTCAACAACAACCCTATTAGGTGGGTCGGGCTGAAAGAGTGACTGGCTTAAAGTGACTTAGCCGGCTTTCATGGCTAAGATGGGACTTGAACGCACGATCTCTTGCTTTCTAGCCTGGTGCCAATAAAAAAAGACCTTGCGTCCACACAAAAGCTAATTACCAGAGTTTTCTGATGACTGCCCAAGAATTAAATAAATGTATGTATACTTTTAGGGCATGCCCAAATAATATTTGGAGTTTATTCATTTACAGGTAAATGTTAATCTTCAAACAGATTTGGAGTTTATTTATTTACAGGTAAATGTTAATCTTCAAACAGATTTGGGATCACATTTTATCAATTACTCCTATTAATATTTTAATTAAAAGGCATGCGACATATTCCCTTTACACGCAACAAGTTTAATTCCAAAGCCACTTCGAATCTTCACTTGGGCAAAACAGACAGGCATCCTGAAAACTTAGCCATCCAAAAATTCCATTCAAAAATTCGCTCAACAAATAAGGTGAGGTTTTAGTCTCAGGGTAGAAAAATATACCATCTCAGCAAACATACGTTCCTCAGTCTGGGCGCTTGTTTTTTCAGCAGAAAAAGGAGATACAGCTTAATTCTCTTTCCCTAATCTGAAAATTTTCATTTGCAAGCATCCATTGCTTTCTTGCAGCTGAATGTTCTTTTGTTTCTGTAGCTTGGATGAAGGCTGAGGAAAACAGATCAGCGAGAATGGGCAGTAGTAATTACTGTCTCTCTCTCTCTCACTCTTTCTTCTAACACAACTCTTTCATAGTCTCCATATTTGGTTGAACTATATTTGTATTTTTTAACAAGTCCAATGAAAGGTCCTTGGTGCTCTCTGACCTTAGTTGTTTTCTGGCAGACGTTTGGTTATCTAAACTAGGTAACATCATCAGGCCTAGCGATGTTACCTCAGAGAATATCAAGTACTCTTCATTTCAACCCTGCGCTACAAATATTCTCCTTTATTGGTAACAAATTAAAGTTAGACTCTTTGCTCCAGCTTCAGAAAGTACTGTGCACTGCTCTACACATAACTCTAAGCAGAGATATGCTACAAACCTACCTGTATATGTATTGCAAACGCACTCCATTTAAGCTAGTAAGATATGCTTTCAAGCAAACCTTCACTGGATTCCACCATTTGACTCATAAATAAATAAATTTAGCTCAGAATCTGGCTGCATTTAGCTCACCCGAAAGCCTCACCTCCCCAATTCGATTTAATCAACATTTATAAATTCAACAAGGTAGCGGTAAACTCCTTCACTTTACCTCAGTATAGGCAGAGACTCTGACTTCCTTTAATACTACAGGAGATTTTTCATAAACTGTCAATTGTAGAACAATGCAGTCCTTCTGATCTAAGGAGAGAGTAGTTATAAATTCAACAGTTATTAGTAGAAGTCTGCAATTAAAAAAAAAGCTTGTTTCTCTTAAGAAGAAATTAACTCAGCAGCTTTTTCACTAGTGGGTGCTGAATAATTAAAAAGATTCCACTTTGAAATAATTCCGGCTAAATGCGAAGACTTTAAGGCAGAAAAAGAAGTTTATCAGAATCTCATGATAGATTTCTAAGTGATGCCATTGTTAAAATATACTCTAAATGTTTTGCCTGCACCCTATCAGTCTGCATACTGACAAATACTGTTAGCTTTTTATTTTGTTAGGTTCTCCTTTCAAAAAAAAAATACAAACAGGTGTTTATTTTGTTTCAGTGGGATTTTTGGAGGGAGGAAAGACCTGTCTGTATAAAAAGTATCTTTAAATAAACACCTGTCTGTATAAAATGTAAATGTAATGCAGCTTTTAAAAATTAAAATTAAGAGATTTGAATGAAAAATGAGAAGCAGCTAACTTGATATGTCTTTTTCTTGATAAAAGTTAATTACATATTTCTGTTTGCAAACATACAAGAGAAAAAAAGGGGGAAAGGACACAAATTAAAATAAAACACTAAAGACAAGCAGGTCTGAATCCTTCTCACATTAGTCTTAATCCTGGCGACAGTCCTGCAAATCAGTTTAATAACCTTAAACAGTTATACTCCCTCTCATCTGTAAAATAAATAGCTTGGACAGATCAAGCCTGCAGGCATTCACTGGACTAATTTGCGTTTTACTCTAACGATGAATGGCAAGCTTCTACTTTGATACAAGTCTATCTTGATTATCTCTTCATTGGAAGCACCAGCACCTCCTCACCCCATCCAACTGCTACCTGAAGAACAACAAGCCATACATTCATTTGAAAAAAAAAAAACTTACCAAGAGGAAAAATACTGGAATTTAACCAGAATGAATTAAAAGGAGGGTTTTTTCCCCCCATGTCTAGGCATCCATTGCACCAATCAAGTCAGCCAAATCCTGGTTTATTTTGTAGAATTATCAGAATTTCAGGCCTCCCTGATACACCCCATTTAAATCAATAAACAGGGTTCCCAAACATCCTTAGGACCAATGATTTCAAGCAGAGGGACACCAGCTGGATTTCAGCTTCCAGCTACAATTTCATGAGCTGGCCCCATTTGGTGAACAGGATAAGCTAACAGATAAGAGTTGGATGGCTTTTATCTACAATTAAAAGCCACCAAACTCAGCAGGTGCCCAGGACTGGGCTCTGGGTGACCATTTTACCTGGCAGACAAGCATCCTAAACTACAAAATGATAGATGCGGAGGCAGCACAAATAACAACAGACTTTTAAACAAAAATAAAAAATGCAGGTTCACAAGTACAAATCTTTTCTGAATACCTTAAGGGACACACCTTTTAGCGAAAAGCTTTCAACTTGTGCAAGATTTACGGATCATCTTCTCCAATATCTTATAACCTGCACCTTTTGCGAATTTAAAATCCATGTTTCCATGTGAATTTTGATTTCTAAGGAAGGAGCCGAACCTGATCAACTTACTGAGCTAAAAAAAGAAAAAAAACAACCCCACATCTCACTTCTTTTACATTATGTTTTAAAAAAACAACACAAGAAAAATAGGAGAAAGTAGGAAAATAAGAGGAGGAAGTTATGTTGGATATATCTGCCACTTTGAGTTATTTGAAAAAATAATAAAGGTAATAGATAGATAGGTAAAATGTAGATATTATATACACATCTATTCCAGATCACCCCACCTGAAACAATGCAATTATCCTTTATTTAAATATTCCCCTGCATAGCCACAAAACACTTTAGCTAATATCCTATATCTAATTACTTTGTAGATATCTAAAATGTACATTATCTATAGCGTCTCTTTCTATATATAAGGGATTTCAGCTTGAAGGCAATAATATAGTATATACATAAACTGATTTAGACCTCCCAGGGTTAAACATACATAATCTCCATGGAATTGAATAAGGCTGCAATGCTGAATCCTAGTGAAATTAAAACTCTTTTTATAGTACCACTAGACATTAAAATATCAACTGCAGACTCTGAATTCTTTCTGTAAGCCAAACCACATTTTCTCCCAATAAAACATCCCCAAAATCTGCACAACCTATTACTAATTTTATGTGGGTGCAATTATACCCTTTAATATCTCATTCTAGGACCAAATTAAACCCTTACACATCTCATTCTAAGGGGTTGGATTAATTAGAAAGAAGATTCCATAGCTTGATAAACTTTCATTGCTTTTAGCTAAAAAAAACCACAACCCAATTGTAGGGTTTTTTTAATATTAGCCTGCTGAAGTCAATAGGATTTTAAAGTATTTCAATTTGCTGGATTAGCCATAATATATCTGTTATTATTCAGAATATACTCAGTTTAGTACCATCACTCCTCTAAAAAGGATCCCTGTTTACAGAATTGATACATATAGCAAACCGACATTGTGAGAGATTTAGGACAGAGCCACCTGAGTTAATTGATGTGCTTTTTTATTTAATATAAATACAAATAAATCAGCTCAGAGAATTTTAATGTCCCAGGTTACCAAGATAGAAAATGGTTCAACCATAATGGAAAAGCAAAGAAAAAAAAAACATTGAAAAGAGCAGAGAAAACAGCAGCTCACACTTAAAAGGTTGTAGTTAAGACAAAGAATGGGTTCAAAGTTTAAGATATGAATATATCTAATAAACTAATCAACCCATTATGAAGCAAGCTTGTATTCACAATCAGTACCCCAAATGAAAATGTAAAAACGGAGCATTTTGAACACATAAAACTGCAAATTGGGGGAGACTGCTTAAATATTTTTTTCCCCAAAAGTAACTTTGCATTCACTAAACAATTGCATAGGTTTGTCCTCCAGGCAATTTATTTTCAAAAGGAATCTGCAGCAATTTCTTTTCCCAGTTTTTTTTCTTACTCAAGTTATTCTTTCTAGAGAAAAAAGATTTCACCAGCCGGTTTACAACCTCATACTGAAGACAAGTTCTTTTTTTAAAAAACGTTATGCACGAAAAGTAATTCAGGACAGAATTGAGAAGGGAAAAAACAAAACAAAACACCGGATCCCGGTGTTTGTGTTTGTGGGGGGGAAGTCTTAACGAAAATCTCGAAAATAGGCGTTGCAGAAAATAGAACAAAGTGGTGGACGGAGAAAAAAGCACCCGGATTACACCTGCAAGAAGGGAAAGCGAAGGAAAGAGCGGAAAGCAAAGGGGAGAAGTCCAATTAGGCCGAGAAGGTGGGCATAAAATGAAGGAGAATTTCTAGGATGTGTAGGATGGGTTAGGGAAGCCCCTCCCCATCCCAAATTCTGGAATTTTTTTGCAGAAGCGTCCAAGGTCCCCATCAGGGCTTTTCGCTGCAGTGTTTGCAAAGGCCCGAGGCTGCCCCGGCGAAGGCAGTACATTTCTCGGGGCAGTTCGGCAAGGCGGCGCCCGTGAAGGGGTAGACGGCGGCCGATTGTCCGAAGGGGGCCAAGGCAGGCGGGATGGAGGCGCCGAGCGTCTGGCCCTGGTTGAGGTAGGCCACCAGGCGCCGCATCTCCTCCAGGGCCTGCGCCTGCATCAGGATGTAGTTCTTGGCCAGGAGCAGCGTGGCGATCTTGGAGAGCTTGCGCACCGACGGGCTGTGCGCGTAAGGGATGACGGAGCGCAGGCCGTCCAGCGCGTCGTTCAGGTCGTGCATCCGCCGCCGCTCGCGGGCGTTGATGCTGAGCCGCAGCGAGCGCTGCTCCTTGGGCTTCTTGGCCCCGAGGGCGCCCCCGACGCCCGCCTTCAGCTTGGCCTCGCCGCCGCGCTCGAAGGCCGGACTGCCGGCCTTGGAGCCCTCGAAAGCCTCGTCCTCGTCGCCGCTCTGCTCTCCGCTGCTCTCCGCTGCCTTGCCCAGCTGCGCCGCCGGGAAGGCCAGCCCGCCCGCGCCCCCGGGGTAGCCGCGCCCAGCTTCGCCCGCGCCTCGCACGGCGCCGAAGGCGAAAGCCGTCTGAGTGTAACTCTGCGCCAGGGCCAGGTAGGACTCGCCGCCCAGCGCTTTGAGCTCGGCCATCGTTGCCCGCGACGGAACGGCCGGCGCCGCGCTTCTCCAGAGGGGCGCAGCGGCTGGGAGCGCGCCCTCTCTCCCCAGCGCCGGCCCTGCGCGGATCCGGCTAGCCGTGGCGTCTCTCCGAAGACCGGGAGCCTGGCGCGCCGCTTCCCACCGAGGACAGCCGCTCGGACGTCGCGGGGAGCTCTTACAGGAACCAGCGCTGCGCTCTTGCTCTTGGGAAGGACTTTGCGCCGTCGGGCCGCGCAGGCGAGGATCGGGTCTGTCCGGCTATGCTTCTCGTTTCTCTCCCCGCACGATCCGGGGAGCCTCTCCCGAGATCCGAGGCTGTGGGGAGAGCGGGAGAGGAAGCGCGCGCCCTCGGTTCACCTGATCCGGATTCGCGCCGTAGCCGTCTAAGGATCCGGTGGCGCAGCTGCTCCTCCTGGGCGCCGTCGCAAGCCTGCCTGGTCTGGTCCGATCCGATGGAAGATTGGCTGGGGAGTCCCGCTTTGGAATGGGCGAGACGGCGGCAGCTCTGCGCCCTGCCTGCCTGCCTGCGCCCGCCCGTCCTGCTGGAGCAGCTCGCTGGGTCTGGAGCCAGCTGGCTCCGCGCACGGTGCCCTGACCGGAGGCGGGATATTAATCATTGCCCACCTCGCCCGTTATGTTGCGGCGAGGCGCCCGCTGGGACTGAGCGGTAGCCCAATCAGAACGATCGCTCTAATTAATGGCCTCTTTAAAAAAAAATAGAAAATCCTCGTCGTGGAAAGCACGCGCGCCCCGTCAAGGTTGGCCGCCGAGCCGTTGCGAATTCAAGGAACGGCTGTGCTGCTTTTGCACTGAGCCGGAGAGCGCATCTCCGGGCGGTTTCTTGCTCGGGAACGGCTGCGTTCGCACAACCACAAGCTTAACCAGGTCAGGTTAAAGGCCTTCTAGCCTTAATTCTAGGGTGAAATCTGATTTAACCTTATTTAGGTTCCCTTAGGCAGGGGTAGTCAACCTTGGCTCTTTTATGACTCGTGGACTTCAACTCCCAGAATTCCTGAGCCAGAATTGCTGGCTCAGGAATTCTGGGAGTTGAAGTCCACGAGTCATAAAAGAGCCAAGGTTGACTACCCCTGCCTTAGCGTATTTAATGTATCAGTGACTTAGTCTTAGCGTATTTAGTGCATTAATGTATAGGTTGCAGGAATTGGGTATATATTTATACCTAGTCTAGTGAAAAGAAGGACGAGGGGGGACATGATAGCAGTCTTCCAATACCTGAAGGGCTGCCACAAGAAAGAGGGAACCAACCTATTTTCCAAAGCACCCAAAGGCAAGCAGAGAAACAACGGATGGAAACTAATCAAGGAGAAAAACAACTTAGAACTAAGGAGAAATTTCCTGACAGTGAGAACAATCAATCAGTGGAACTACTTGCCTCCAGAAGTTGTGGGTGCTCCAACCCTGGAGGTTTTTTTTTTTTTTAAAAGAGATTGGAGAACCATTTGTCTGAAATGGTATATAGAGCAAGGTCTTCAAACTTGGCCCTTTTATGACTTGCGGACTTCAACTCCCAGAATTCCTCAGGCAGCGTGCTGAGGAATTCTGGGAGTTGAAGTCCGCAAGTCATAAAAGGGCCAAGTTTGAAGACCCCTGGTATAGAGTTTCCTGCTTGAGCAGGGGGCTGGACTAGTTATGGTCACCACAGTAAAAAAAAGATGTTGAGACTCTGGAAGGAGTGTAGAGAAGAACGATGAGAATGATTAGAGGGTTGGAGAAAAGGAGAAAAAAACATTTAAACTTGACCGATAAGTACAGAATGAAGCAAAATATTTTAATATTGGACATATTGAAGGCTATTTCTGAACAATGGGCTCAGAAACTTCGCTTTATAAACAGGTAGTCCTCGACTTATGAAAACAATTAAGCCTAAAATTTTCACTGCCAAGCAAGACAGTTGTTAAGTGAATTTTACCCCATTTTACGACCTTTTTTGTGCACAGTTGTTAAGTGAATCACTGAGGTTGTTAAGTGAGTAATACGGTTGTTAAATGAATCTGGCTTCCCCATTGACTTTACTTGTCGGAAGGTCGTAAAAAGGGGATCACCTGATCCTGGGGCACTGCAACAGTTATAAATATGAGTCCTTTGCCAAGCAGCCAAATTTTGATCATATGACCAGGAGGGTTTTGCAACAGTTGTAAGTGTGAAAAGGGGTCATAAATAGCTTTTTTCAGTGCTGTCGTAACTTTGAATGATCACTAAACAAACTGTTGTAAGTCGAGGACTACTTGAATCAATCAAATCTTTATTAGGGTGACTCCCTCTTTGGGGCAGCCCCTGAGATATTGGAACACTGCTATCATGTCCCCCCTCGACCTTCTCTTCGTTAAACCAGACATACCCAATTCCAGCAGCCGTTCCTTATAAGTTTTAGAATGGCGATCACATGATCATCTTTGTTGCTCTTCTCTGTACTCTTTCTAGTGTCTCAACATCTTTTTTACATCGTGGCGACCAAAGCTGGAAGCAGTATTCCAAGTGTGGCCTTACCAAGGCCTTGTAAAGTGGTATTAACACTTCAGGTGAAACCTCTCCCTTTCCCCTCAGCAGGGCTGGCTCAGGAATTCTGGGAGTTGAAGTCCACAAGTCATAAAAGAGCCAAGGTTGCCTACACCTGCCTTAGCCATTCATCATTTGATTTACCATCCAGCCCCCTTGTTCTCTTGGTTGCTCTTCTCTGCACTCTTTCTAAGGCCTCAGGATTTTTTTTTTTTTTTTGGTATCGTGGCCACCAGCAGAGGCAGTCCTCAACTTACAACAGTTCATTTAGTGACCCTTCAAAGTTGCAACGGCTCTGAAAAGAGTGACTGATGACCCTTTGTCACACTTACAACCGTCGCAGCATCCCCACCGTCGTGTGATCAAAATTCAGATGTGTGGCAGCTGACTCATATTTATGACGGTGGCAGTGTCCCCCGGGGTCATGTGATCACTTTTTGAGACCTTCCGACAAACAGAGTCAATAGGGAAGCCAGATTCACTTAACCACTGTGTTCCTAACTTAACAACTGCAGTGCTTCACTTAGCAACGGCTGTAAAATGGGGCAAAGGTTGTAAAATGGGGCAAAACTCACTTGACCAATGTTTCACTTAGCAACATAAATTCTGGGCTCTATTTGTAGCCATAAGGCAAAGACCACCTGTATGATGGGGTATAGAGTGATACACTTCTCATGATCTTGATGTTCACAAGCCGCTTTCTTGGTTAACGAGGGAAATAGATGTGAGTGGATTCATTTCAAGCCTAAAGCAAGGATTGAGAGTTTAGAATCAATAGACTAATAGACAATAATCACCCTCTCTGGAGGTTGGTGATATTCCTGGGATAGTTATTGGTATTGCCACTCATAGCTCTCGCCTTTCAAACTCTCAGTGGAGACATATAAGCAGATCACTTTTCTAGCAATCTGCCTAATGTCAATGCTGCTAACATCGGATGTTAGACATAACAACACTAGACCCAGCGTGAGAAACAAGGTTATTGTAACCAGAGCTGATAAGGACTTAGCAGGCTGGAGAACTGGAGAGGAAGCCTGCGCTTCAAGCTAATTGAGGAATGTGATTTATGACTGTTAATTGAAGGAGGGAATTGTGCTTTGATACGACTTCGCAATTAACGACGACCATGTGCTCAGGGGAGGGGAATTCAGTTTTTGGCTTCGATTATGTTAGTGCCAATGTTATTCTACTCAAAGTAAAGATTCTTTAAGGTAAACAATGCCTCAAAGTTCTTTGAAGAGTTTCATCTGTCAGAACCATGACACCTAACCCATGTAGTTAGTGGAGGGATTCAAATAGGTGAACAACCGGTTCTCTGTATGGATGCCGCTTCTGGAAGTCCATTCTGGGCCTGGGCAACAAAAACATTAGCTATTGGTTCTACTGAAGTGGTGCGAAGTTTGATACAAAAAAAACTTTTAGGGAATTGAACAAGATTACAATTAAACAGGTAAAATGTGTATTTTTGGATATTATCGTTATGAAGTGAGATAAGGGAAATCTTGGTTACCCAAAGTCTGAAAATTATGGATATCAAAGGTTAAATTGGAATATTGACGAGAAATTAAAATTATGTAAAAATTAATAACAGGATTGATTATGAAAATTGAATGTAATTAAGATATGTACAAGCTAAAAATTTATTGATAAATGTAATAATGATGTTTTTATTGAGTTGATATAATTAGAAATGTACTGGTTTGAATACGAGACAGTAAATGTTAAGGGAAAAAGAGAAGAAATATCTGATGTTGTAACCTGAGATTTGCACTAAAGATTTTGTTATTGAACTATTGATTAACCCAGTTACCACGTTGCTTTTTAAATATTTAAATGTAAAATTGGAAAATTAATAAAATATTATATTTAAAAAAAACACGCCCCCTTTGGTCTACAGAAAATCCTTTCTCCATGGCACCAGGCCCTGGTGCCCAAAAGGTTGGGGACCTCTGCCCTGTACCATTTCAGACAAATGGTTGTCCAATTTCTTCTTAAAAACTTCCAGACTGCTTTGGGAAGAAGGTTACAGTTTATTGCAGAAAGATGGTTCTTCAGGAAAGAGCAAAGGAGAGAAGGGCTGAGCACATGGTGTAGTAGGTTTTTATACCCCCTCTAGCTTTTTGTTTGGAATAGTTTCCTATTCCTGTGTCCTGAACTTTGAGGCTATTTCCTGTGTCACATATTCTGACCTGAGTTTAGGTGTGCCTCTATGGTATACTTGATGGAATGGGTTAGTCCTATTATATCCCAAAAGTCATCTCCTGCTTCCCTGGGGCTGGGCTAATGACTCTTAAGAGTTTCTTTCTCTTGAGTTCCCTGGCTCCAACCTTCCTAATGGTCTTATATCTGCATTTCTATGAGGCTAGCTCTTGCTTGAGGCAAAGAAATTTGGGGCCAGGTTTGGTTTCTGCTTTTCAAAAAATACTTTTAAAAAAATCCTTGAGGAAAAATATATTTTCCTTTTTAATATTTCCTTCTGGGGGGCTAACTTCCCCCAGTTCTTTCCAGCCCTCTTGATTCTATGGGTCTAAGTACTGAATGGTGTTAACAACAAAGAAACAATTTAGAGGGAGCTGATTGGCTCAGAAGACAGGCAAGTTGACTGATCCCAGAGTTGTCACAAGAACATAATGGGTCTTTAAGGAGAGTTAAACTTGCACGATAGCTGGCAGGTATCAAGTTCAGTTCTCAGAACTGTCCTAATGAGTTGTTTTATTTTAAGTGCTTAGTAAGTGGACGAAGCAAAGAGAGGTTTGAATAATGAAAGAGGGAACTGTGTTGTGGCCTAGGGCTGGGTTTTAACTGGAAAAAGTAGGTTGATATATTGAAATGCAGCAAGGTAATTAAAGTTGTGAGATAGTAGTAGTTTTATTTATTACTAGCTGTACCCAGCCACACGTTGCTGTGGCTCAGTCTGGTTAAATGGAAAAGAAAGAAAAGAGAAAGCACACGTTTGTAATATGTTTAATTTCACAGTGCTTGTGGGTATACAATATTTTTTGTTGTTCCATTGTCTGTGCAGATATAGAGATTGTCTGAAATCATGGTGTATGTTGCTTTTATGTCCAGCAGATGGTGCTGTTTTTCAAAAAAGCATGTTTTTACTTGTCACAGGTATGACATCTATATATTATAGGTGTATAAAAACACACGCGTATTCGAATGC